TGATATAAAGAGGAGCCAAACATATATCTGCTAATTTGAAACCGTTTCCTATAGAATCCTGGAAGAGATATTTTCGCGCAGTTGCCTTTACAAAAACAAGTAAAAGAAAAGAATACAAATTAACCAACCTAGACAATGCGACAAGCCGGCATTCTAACCATTCGTCTGTTGCACTGTCTCACTTTGAATAATATGTCAAAATGAGTCCTACCTCTTCAGTGGTTCTAAAACGAAAGTTGCTTTTACTAAACAAAACAATGTGTGCGGTTGTGTGCGCTGGTGGCCAGTGTGTCAGCCACACAAGTATTGTAGACATTTTGAATCTGTATATGTATGCAAGCAATAGGTCGTTTCGCATCACATGATCTAGCGTACGGAGACATACACGTGCAGACAGTGTAGAGATCATTGCACACTTTGTATGATGTGGTACTGCACATGGGTACAGTCTGCCTTTTGTAAGGGAAACAATGCGAGAAAGTGGTGTTGTCGCATTGTCAAGCAATGGTAAATTTTGATACATTTTGCTTGTTTTTGTAAGGGTGATAACTAGACAAGGTCTTTTCTAAGATGATTCCTCCTCCGTGGCGATATCGCTGCCAGATACGGTCGAAGTACAGTTCAGAGATGATGACGTGGCGGTACTCGTGGTTCAAAGTTCGTTGTTCTGTACCGTCCTACTCAGTTGGTTGAGTTCTGATGGTTGTGGAACTCCTGTGAGCCTTGCAGTCCAGCAGCAAGCTCCAGTGGTTAGTATGCCTTTTCTCAAAGAAATGACAAAATGTCTGTTAGGTTCCATTTTGACATCTTCCAAATAAAGTGATTTCCTGACTGAGGACAAGATTTTCTTCTATAGAAAGACCAAGGTCTGTGTCTAATGCGCGATAACTTCTAGACGTGAAGATGGCGGCATTACTTCTGTCTGGACGTTCTGGTAGACAGAACGGCGGTGGATTTCCATACTGGTACTATGAGAATGATCACGTAGTTTGTATCTCCCATATACGATTCTGTTAAGCAATTCTGTTTCTCACGTGCACATTACACATCGTAAGGCGTATTGCATTAAGGCGTATCACAAACCTACACAGAATCGATTTACATAGTTGGTGTACAGACTGCCAAACACAGGTTTCATCTAAAGTCAGTTACAGTACAAACAAAATTAAATTTCGACGTAAAGTTTTCAATGTTGGACTGGGATGTCCAGAAACAACCAGCTGCGGGTGACAACAGGGCCTAATTCAAACCGTGTAGAAAAGACCAACACAGAACAGCATCATTCTCAGGCGCCACTAGAATTCAGAAACCCGTCTATCAACCAACACTGTGAGAATACGTTGCAGAAATACCCATTTACTATTCGACGTCCACTACTATGCTTAGACGGAACATTTAGTGTAGGGTGCGATCTGTCAGCATCACGAGGACGAATCCACAAATCTGACGAAACTCGCTACTTTCAGACGTCAAGAAGGAATGGAGATGCCAGAATACAGTTTACGATTACGAGTGCCCTTTGGTGCTAGTTTTGGGGCGTGTGTGACTAGCATGAAACTTGGCAATGTTGCCCTCAAAGGGAATGTTTGACAATCTGTACCTACGGTTCGCAACCTGTACTCATGGGTGATAACACAAGGACGTCTCTCAGAGGTCGCCCAGTGTTGGTCAGTTTGCGTCAGAATATGTTCAACAATGTACCTTGGAACGCCAGAAGTCGAGATCTGAATCCACATGTAGAAACTATACAGGAACTTGAAAGTGTCATTCACGAGGAATGGAACAAGCCTCTGTGGCGGATTCAGCATTTGGTGACCCCCACATGCAGGCATTTTGCAAACGTGATCACAGCATGTGGCGCTTTCACCCGAAATCGACTCTGACACATCACACGTTACATATCGAATCGCCAACACCCTTTATATCAGGAAACATGACGTAACCATTACTTGAAGTGGACTGTGTATACTTCGTTGAGGACTTTTCAAGCCGAGTGATCAGATGGGATGAGATTCCAGGTTTTGGCAAATACCATCAGTCTGCCTTCTACTGGGCTTTCCTTTTGGCGATTACTGGTATTTTATAATCATAGTTAGGTAGATAGTCTTCCAGACAATTGCCGGGCATTCAGTATTGGTGATTCCCTCTTTTTACCAGAAGCTTGTCTCTTCTTTAGGCTCCATGTCGTAGTGTGTGGTCTATTTGGCGACAGCTCCCTCCTTTTCTAGCATGCAGTCCAGTCCTCCTTGCTGATAGCCTGAAATGTGTATTTTGTAAGGGTCCCAAATAGGGGCACCTAGAATGACATTGTCAAAGATGACTTTCTTCAATGGGACCCACAGATACTGGCCTCTTGCCTGGGGACATCTGGTCCCTCTCTGCCATACTACTTGTCAAACATGGCCTGCATAGCTTCTTGCTGTTCTTCAACATGCCTTCTAACATGTTAGTGAGAACGTGGGCATGGCATTATTTGATAGTGTTGACAACTATCTCTCTTAAGAAGCCTTGGGAATTATAACTAAAAACATAATTGTATGACTCACTGCAAAAAAGGACCATACTTTCTCAATAATCTCCTTTAGATGTCCACCACCTTAGCCAACACCTCCAATGAGAGACATGAGCACTGAGGACAGCACCCCACTTCTCCATCATTTCCAAGGTCTGTGCAAGGGTTCTGTAGGTACACAGTGATCCTGAATGTTTGTTGTTTGTTTAACACTGTACTCAGCATTAGTTCAGCTATATGGAGTCAGTTTGTAATTAATCATGTCTGGACCAGACAATCCAGTGATCCTGAACTAAGCGCACTTCTTACAAAAAGATAAAAATGTAGGACCATGTTGATTCAAACACTTCCTCCCCAATTACTAGATGACTACCAGTAAACAAAAAGTATGTACTCTTCAGCTGCTGATGATACCAACCCTACTGTTATATTGAACATCTAGTTATGGTGTGACATCTACCAACTGTAATGTGCTAACTTAGAATTTCAAATTTTGTGATCAGTGAGATTTTCATGCCAGAGAGATTTTCAAATATAGTACAGCTAGCAAGACACTAAGACTTTCAGGCTTGATTATAGATAACAGACAGACAGACATTTGAGTGTGATGACAGTCAAAATACAGGATTTATAGCTATACCGTAATAATGGTAGGGCATTCACAAGTATAGTGTTTTACTAAATGGATGTCTCACAGGTATTCATTGAAAGGGTTCTGAGGAAGCCTGGTGGGTTTGTCATGCTGAAGACCCCAGGTTCATTTCTCCATATAGCTGCAGTGTATGAAGCACATTTCTTGTGTACCTAAATGTGAGATGTTGGAATATTCCTTAAATTGGCATAAAACCAATTTCACTTGCTCCCTCCATGTTTTTTATCATATACCTTTTCAATACCCCGACTTTCTCAACCAAAATAATGGTATCAGACCTGAATAATATTGATAGTGTTTTCCCAAAAGGTATCTTGATACAAAATATTATCTCTGTGTATAATGAATACTCTATGATCTTGCCCTTAGATTTCAGCCAACTGATAATGTCAGTAAAAAAGAAGAAGAATAGAATATGCCGGTAGTTGCATAAATTAAGTGTATTAAGAAGAATATCCTTAAAACAAGGTTAGATAAGAGCTAGCACAGCATTGCTGGTCCAACTGAGCAGCGTTTATAATATATTAGTGATCTCTTCATTTTCTTTTCCCAAATCTACCAAACCAGTTTTGTTCCAAATAGTTTTTATCCGTAAGGGTATCATTTTGCTAGTTGCAAGACAAAGACATAACTTTCAATTTTACCAGTTTTATTAGACAATATCAGCATTTTATAATCAATGACACATGCAACAGATTTCTCTGATATGCATTATATGTAACTTCCATAATTTACATGCACAGACAGCATATAAGCCTTTACATGTAGCACCAGGTCAAAGTTGTCATCAGCTTCTCACTGCACTCTAATTACAAAAAGGTATTGCATCAACTCCAATTATGTCATCTTTGATTTCACAATATTGTTGTAACTTCAACTAACTTCTAATCATAAATATGAATGAAATATTTCATCATGGAGAATGAGTAGAAAATAGTGTTTGAGAGAAGCTGAATAATTTGTACAACTTTGCATTCTAGGTGTTGCACAACAATATGTAGTATGTACATGTTGTCAACTGTTGTCCTATTAAGGCATATATACAAGCTAAGTACAGACTGCCGCCCTTAGCATCAGGTCAGTCAGCATATGGCTAGGGGCACATGACAACAGCTTACAGAGCCCACTGACACTAGCAGTGAGCAGTGAGCTCCAACATGTACGCCAGAGAAGCCAGATAGATACATTCATAAGGCAAACATCAGTAGGACAGATGAGTAGTGTAGAAATCACAGTAAGAATATGCATAGCTCTGAGTACCAACAAACTGGGGGTAAATATTGTACATTTAAACAAGATAAAAAGTGTTTCGATTGCATTCCAGTCAAATTTGCCATCAAGATTTCATGTAACTTGAGAGTGTTTGTACACAACATGAATAACTAAACTCTAAGTTATATAATAGCTGTGTATGGGCAGTCAACTTTCAGGATGCATCAAATGCATGATGTCTCCATTTCAACAACAATGTTGGTATAAGTCCATTGGACATCAGCATTATTATCCCATGCAAAGCTCAGCCTCTGATAATATGGTGCTCCAGTAGATAAACAGACACACAGACAGGCTAGATGCTCTAGCTGACTGGGTACAAAAATGGCACTATGTAACTGTACAAAACACTCACTCACTCACACGTCTCATACATGCTCTCCAGACACACTTTATGCACAGACATGCTTATGTAAGTGCATGAACACATAAATAACTGTCTAACGTCAACTTTGCTGAAAGTGGACTAGTGGATTCTTCTAGTACTGGTGAGGCATAAAAACAGGCACGAAGGACAATCTTCAAGAACAGGTGCTGTACCAAAACAGGCAGGATGGGATCCTCCAGTACAGGTGCTGTGTCAACACAGGCAGGAGGGACAGTCTTCCAGTACAGGTGCTGTACCAAAACAGGCAGGAGGGACAGTCTTCCAGTACTGGCAGGTGCTGTACCAAAACAGGCAGGAGGGACAGTCTTCCTGTACTGGTGCTAGGTCAACACAGGCAGGAGGGACAGTCTTCCAGTACTAGTGCTAGGTCAACACAGGCAGGAGGGACAGTCTTCCAGTACTGGTGCTAGGTCAACACAGGCAGGAGGGACAGTCTTCCAGTACTGGTGCTAGGTCAACACAGGCAGGAGGGACAGTCTTCCAGTACAGGTGCTAGGTCAACACAGGCAGGAGGGACAGTCTTCCAGTACAGGTGCTGTACCAAAACAGGCAGGAGGGACAGTCTTCCTGTACTGGTGCTAGGTCAACACAGGCAGGAGGGACAGTCTTCCAGTACTGGTGCTAGGTCAACACAGGCAGGAGGGACAGTCTTCCAGTACTGGTGCTAGGTCAACACAGGCAGGAGGGACAGTCTTCCAGTACAGGTGATGTGTCAACACAGGCAGGAGGGACAGTCTTCCAGTACTGGTGCTGTGTCAACACAGGCAGGAGGGACAGTCTTCCAGTACTGGTGCTAGGTCAACACGGGCAGGAGGGACAGTCTTCCAGTACTGGTGCTAGGTCAACACAGGCAGGAGGGACAGTCTTCCAGTACTGGTGCTAGGTCAACACAGGCAGGAGGGACAGTCTTCCAGTACAGGTGCTGTGTCAACACAGGCAGGAGGGACAGTCTTCCAGTACTGGTGCTAGGTCAACACAGGCAGGATGGGATCCTCCAGTACAGGTGCTGTGTCAACACAGGCAGGAGGGACAGTCTTCCAGTACTGGTGCTGTGTCAACACAGGCAGGAGGGACAGTCTTCCAGTACAGGTGCTGTGTCAACACAGGCAGGAGGGACAGTCTTCCAGTACTGGTGCTAGGTCAACACAGGCAGGAGGGACAGTCTTCCAGTACTGGTGGTGCTAGACAGTCAACACTGTGTCAACACAGGCAGGAGGGACAGTCTTCCAGTACTGGTGCTAGGTCAACACAGGCAGGAGGACAGTCTTCCAGTACTGGTGCTAGGTCAACACAGGCAGGAGGGACAGTCTTCCAGTACTGGTGCTAGGTCAACACAGGCAGGAGGGACAGTCTTCCAGTACTGGTGCTAGGTCAACACAGGCAGGAGGGACAGTCTTCCAGTACTGGTGCTAGGTCAACACAGGCAGGAGGGACAGTCTTCCAGTACTGGTGCTAGGTCAACACAGGCAGTCTTCCAGTACAGGACAGTCTTCAGGCAGGAGGTACTGGTGCTACAGTCAACACAGGCAGGAGGGACAGTCTTCCAGTACTGGTGCTGTGTCAACACAGGCATGAGGGGACAGTCTTCCTGTACTGGTGCTAGGTCAACACAGGCAGGAGTGACAGTTTTCCAGTACAGGTGCTGTGTCAACACAGGCAGGAGGGACAGTCTTCCTGTACTGGTGCTAGGTCAACACAGGCAGGAGGGACAGTCTTCCAGTACTGGTGCTAGGTCAACACAGGCAGGAGGGACAGTCTTCCAGTACAGGTGCTGTGTCAACACAGGCAGGAGGGACAGTCTTCCAGTTCAGGTGTTGTACCAAAACAGGCACGAAGGACCAGCTTCCAGTTCAGGTGTTGTACCAAAACAGGCACGAAGGACCAGCTTCCAGTACAGATGCTGTACCAAAACAGGCACGAAGGACAGTCTTCCAGTACAGGTGCTGTGTCAACACAGGCAGGAGGGACAGTCTTCCTGTACTGGTGCTAGGTCAACACAGGCATGAGGGGACAGTCTTCCTGTACTGGTGCTAGGTCAACACAGGCAGGAGGGACAGTCTTCCAGTTCAGGTGTTGTACCAAAACAGGCACGAAGGACCAGCTTCCAGTTCAGGTGTTGTACCAAAACAGGCACGAAGGACAGTCTTCCAGTACAGGTGCTGTGTCAACACAGGCAGGAGGGACAGTCTTCCAGTACAGGTGCTGTGTCAACACAGGCAGGAGGGACAGTCTTCCAGTTCAGGTGTTGTACCAAAACAGGCACGAAGGACCAGCTTCCAGTTCAGGTGTTGTACCAAAACAGGCACGAAGGACCAGCTTCCAGTACAGATGCTGTACCAAAACAGGCACGAAGGACAGTCTTCCAGTACAGGTGCTGTGTCAACACAGGCAGGAGGGACAGTCTTCCAGTACTGGTGCTGTACCAAAACAGGCACAAAGGACAGTCTTCCAGTACTGGTGCTGTACCAAAACAGGCATGAAGGACAGTCTTCCTGTACAGATGCTGTACCAAAACAGGCACGAAGGACAGTCTTCCAGTACAGGTGTTGTACCAAAACAGGCACGAAGGACCAGCTTCCAGTACAGATGCTGTACCAAAACAGGCATGAAGGACAGTCTTCCAGTACAGGTGTTGTGTCAACACAGGCAGGAGGGACAATCTTCCAGTTCAGGTGTTGTACCAAAACAGGCACGAAGGACCAGCTTCCAGTACAGATACTGTACCAAAACAGGCATGAAGGACAGTCTTCCAGTACAGGTGCTGTGTCAACACAGGCATGAAGGACAGTCTTCCAGTACAGGTGCTGTACCAAAACAGGCACGAAGGACAGTCTTCCAGTACAGGTGCTGTGTCAACACAGGCAGGAGGGACAGTCTTCCAGTACAGGTGCTGTGTCAACACAGGCAGGAGGGACAGTCTTCCAGTACAGGTGTTGTGTCAACACAGGCAGGAGGGACAATCTTCCAGTTCAGGTGTTGTACCAAAACAGGCACGAAGGACCAGCTTCCAGTACAGATGCTGTACCAAAACAGGCATGAAGGACCAGCTTCCAGTACAGATGCTGTACCAAAACAGGCACGAAGGACAGTCTTCCAGTACTGGTGCTGTACCAAAACAGGCAGGAAGGACAGTCTTGCAGTACGGTGCTGTGTCAACACAGGCATGAAGGACAGTCTTCCAGTACAGGTGCTGTGTCAACACAGGCAGGAGGGACAGTCTTGCTGTCAACACAGGCATGAAGGACAAACAGGCAGGAAGGACAGTCTTCCAGTACAGGTGCTGTGTCAACACAGGCAGGAGGGACAGTCTTCCAGTACAGGTGCTGTGTCAACACAGGCATGAAGGACAGTCTTCCAGTACAGGTGCTGTGTCAACACAGGCAGGAGGGACAGTATCTGTGCTGCATCAACATAGGCAAAAGGGACTGTTACACATCCTCATTCATGCATATTTTTGCTTTCATGTGCCAGAGGTTATTTCAGCTATCACCGGTTTCCTCCTCAAAAGGTCCATTCCTTCCTACCCACCCACTCAAATTGTCTGATTGTCTTCATGCAATAATGTTAGTGACAGATAAGTATAACGATACCCCTCACAATCAACACATCCTTCCATCTGCCACACAGACTGTCTCTCATGTTCCCAAGACTCACACAAGCATCAAAACAGATTAAAATGCTACTAAAACTCCATCTAGCAACAAAAAATTGTGAAGATTGTTTGCAATCTAAGATTGCTTTAAGGCTACAATCTTTGGTCTTTAGGCTGGTCTACAGAGTATAGTATTATGCTGTTACTCACAAGTTAGACTTGAATAAAATAAATAGACAACAGCTAGTCAGGCAAAACAAAGTAACTGCAAAATTAACAACAATACTGATCTATATATCACAGTAACTGTGAATAGCATCATTTAAAACTGCTCCAACACTTGTCCAAGGGCGATGTGGAAATCATCTCAAATTCTCAAAATGTCCTTATTTTCAAATAAACATATTTGATTTTTAGCAAGTCACACCATCATTCTCATATTTCCCCATGAACTGAACCACGTGTAAGTTTTAACTGAATTCTATGGCCAAACAAAACAAACACTGAAGCTTCTAGGTATAGTGCAACAAATATTGGCCCAAAGTTTATCTTTGGTATTGCTACCATACTAGTGACAGCCAGCTGCACCCATGACTCTAAGGCATAGGGCAAGCTTGGGAGGCATGTCTTCTACTTAACTGCATTATACAAAAGTCAACAAATCTCATAGCACCGAGTCAATGTTCAGCAAGTTGAAGACATCTGGTTGAAGCCAGTGGCACTTTATAACACTATGTTATTGCATCGTTTACTGAGAACGGTCACGTTCAGCATTGCACACCAGTGTCTTAACACATCAACTGGCATCAGTTGTGCCAGAAACAACAGAACCATTCCCATTCTGGTTGTATTCCAATGACGAAATAATTTGTACAATCATGTAACAGCATCATTGTATCATCACAATCAAGCAGTGACAGACTCTGGGAGCTCTATCGGGCAGTCAGCACACACCTCTGTGCATACTGGTACACCTTATATTTCTGAAGTCCTCTGATCAGGAATGTATCCATTGTGTGACATTAGACTATTAAAACGGTTGCACTCCGTCACAGATGGTGTGCCATTTTTTGGCATTGTTCCCTATGTACAAGGGCATGGCATTATGATTTCCAGGCTTGAGGTTCCCAGTAGAGGAACCTTGCGATGTGGCACTTTTTGTAGAATTTGAACTTGCTACTGAACCAGGTGGTGATATTTTAGTTTGAGAATTCTCCAACTTATTATAGGGTGGTGGTCCGTTCCTAGTGTTGTGAGGTGGCAGCAGCGGCTGCATGTGGCTGGGCAGGTTAGGGTGGTGCATGACCATCTGGGGTGGTTGAGCAATTGGGTGGTACATGGGGTCTGAAGTATTGCTGCTGCCAGTCAACCCAGTAACGGCGGTGGTGTTGCTCGGTCCAGTGCTGCTGTGGTGGCTGGGCTGGCTGTGGGAACTCTGGTGAGTACTGCTTGAGTGTGCCGAGTGACTCTGGGACAGGCTCCAGTGTGGATTCTGGCCAGTCATTATTTCTCCCTTCCAGGCTCTCAGACGAGCATGCATTTCTCTGAAAGAAGGTCTTCTAGCTGGTGTTTCATGCCAGCATTCAACCATCAAGCCATATATGCGAGCTGGACAATCTTCGGGACATCCTAGAATCTGTCTGGAACGGATCATCTCAATCACCTCTTGGTTAGAGTACCCAAAATATGGTTGAAGGCCATAGCTGAATACCTCCCACAAGACAACCCCAAATGCCCAAACATCACTATCAGTTGTGAATTTACCATACATGATAGACTCAGGTGGCATCCAGCGAACAGGCAATAGAGATTTACTTTGGACACGGTAGTAATCAGAAGAGTAAACATCTCTTGATAACCCGAAGTCAGAGATTTTGACTGTCAGGTTTTCTCCAACCAGGATGTTTCTGGCTGCCAAGTCTCGGTGGACAAAATGGTGGCTGGCCAGATACTCCATGCCTGCAGCTATCTGCAGTGACATGAACAGCATGTCAGGATACTCCAGTAACTTAGCTGCCCCCTCGTCATCCTTTCCTGATATATCAGAGTGGGGTGAATGCATCAGGAGATACTCATGCAGGTCACCATGTGTCATATACTCAAACAACATGCACATTGGCTCCTGTTTCATACATACACCTAGCAGACACACAATATTTGGGTGTCTCATTTCTGACATCAGGTCAACTTCACGTCGAAAGTCATTTTGTGTCTTTGGAGTTGCAGTGTCTTTCAAGGTCTTGATAGCAACCTTGCTGACACTATTGTCGCCATACAATCCCAATAGTTCTCCTTTATAAACTTTGCCAAAAGCACCTTCACCCAGTTCTTGAAGAAAGCGTATGTTGCCCATTGGAAATTCTCTGGCTCGCGAGCTTGGTTTGGGGTTGAGGGGACTCATTTCCATTGGGACATTTGGTCGATTGGCAGTCTTCCCCTTGCCATTTTGTCTGCTCCTTGATTGCTGGCAGAAGCAGACAAGGGCAAGGAGCAAAGCAAGAGCCAGTGGGACTGTGATACCAGGAACCAATATGAACATGAGTTTGTTGCCTTGCTCTTCTCCCCCCTGCTGATCCACTAGCTCCACCAACTGAAACACACGCAAGCATGTTGTGAAACACTAAAATACACAGCAGAATATATTCAAACCCATAACAGCTATAGAATTGTACCTGTTACAATGCACAAGTAAATGAATCCCCATAATGTTTTTTAGATAATACAATTGTAAGCAACGTGTCTATCATCTGAAACAATTCATAATAACACTATTACAAAGAACCAGTCCTACTGCTAAGTAGGAGTTGGGTAGGTCAATGTACACAAAAATAGAATGTCTCAGCGAGTTGGGCAGTTGTATTCAGCGAGCGAGCGAGTGAAGGAATGAATGAATGAATGCCTTTATTTCCTTGAGAAAAATCTGAAGATCCTCAAAACATCATGTTTATGTAATTATAGAATTAAGTAACAAAATACTCAATATAAATGTGTAAACAAGAATATGCAGACATAAATATTCTTAATATTACATAATGTTCATACTAAGTAACAAACTTTTATAATATCCATTAATAACAGGAGAAACACCACTTTCAATATGGCTACCATTTTCAATTCAAGACCATAGATTTAGCAGTTCTTAGCAGAGTGTTTGCAGAGTTAACTTCTGCATAGTGTAGCATCATAGAGGCTGTTTGTTGAAGGCAGTCTTCATGTCAAACATACATAGAGTCTCTGCTATGGAGAGCTAAAAAGCAAATGGATATCTGTTCTTTTGTCTTTAACCTTTAAATGAAGCTAAGAATTGGTTTGGAAGCTAAAGTTTGGAAACAAAGAGAGGATTGAGAGATAAAAGAGTACATAATGCATCAGCTGAAGCTCACTGTAGCTATGGGTATACTCACCACACTTTGGTATGGCACACACTTCCTTCTGAACACGTCCATTGGTTGTGAAGCACCACGGGGCTTCTTCTTGGTTGCCAGGATTACGACAATAATTATGAGAACCTGAAACAAATAAATATTCATATAATACAAAAATGAAAACATATGTGACAGTGTAGCAGTTCTTTTATGTCAGGCTAGAAATGTGTTTGCATTACATTATCCACATCTGTTCCAGAATATCACAACCATTTGATCCGATATGTACAATTGAATCTTAGGGTAACAGTGGACATACACAATATCAATGTTCATCTTTGGTCCTTACAAATACAATCTTGACAGTCCTATGTCTTTGGCTATCATAAAAATATAATTCATAAGCACTTCCAGTCTATCGACATTGACAACCAGGGTATGCTTCCATGAGGTACTAAATAATTTTGAGTTTAAAAGTCCATGTGGTGTTACAATGTGAAGGGTCTGTTAAGTTACTGTAGCATACTGTATTAGTATACAGTCTGAAATATACTATTGATTTGGTACATGCAGGGGGGTCTCTTACTTTGTACATAAATCTTAGGCGAAGTCATTCACATTGCTTCTCCATACAAATCTTCATCACCTTCCCCCTGCCATAATTTATGAATGGTCCCTATAATAGGCTTGACTCAGAATAATGTCAAGGATATAAACAAAAACATTCCACAGAACTACCATTATGTTTGCTTTTAACACATCCAATCCATGATGTGGTCAACTGATTGGCCAAGCTGACCCTTTGTCACATTGCATGTGTCTTACACAAACAAGTGGACAGCAAAACACTTGTTTCAGGTTAGTCTTATATGAATATATGTACTGTCTGCTTTGGCATTTACATGTTGTAGCAGTTTGAACACTGTAAGAAACAAAAGTGTTTAATATTACTTAAATCTCAGCAATGATCTATTTGCGTATATATTTGGTAAACTTTTAAACTTTCATAAATACTAATATTATATCTTTTCTTATTACTTTATTCTTGTATGAATGAGAAAAAAGGTGCAAGTGTTGCTTTATAAAATAGTTTAATTCTCTGAAAAAAGTCTTCTTGCTAATGTTTCATGCCAGTATTCAACCATCAAGCCATATATGCATGCTGGATGATAACTGGTTGAGATAATTTCTGTGTAATATATTTTAAACCTTATGTAAATAGTACAGCTGAATGGATATAATTTATTGAGAAACTATTGTTGCTAGGTTGCGGCACTATGGTCAAGAAGTCACCTCAGGCGTGGGACATTATTAATGGGACAACTGATTATGGACAGCTGTCAGTCAAGAGGACAGAACTGTGAAGTTTTTATAGTGTGATGTTAGCCAAAATGTAAAGATTTATGGCAATGGTGTAATACAGGTAGATTTGTAATGATTATTCCCTATGCAGAGACATACTCACCAACAATAGGGTATCGGGAGGATTTGAAGAAGTGTTGATGGGGAGTGTCCGAGTTCCACTTCTGGCAAGTGAAGCCACTCTTCGTTTTGCTTACATTTCCCTCATATGTTGTCCCAGTCCCGTTATAGCAATTGTGCTCTGTAATTACAATATCCTTATCATGCATAGGAATTTCATGGCAACAAATTGTGGGATTAAGTTGGATAAAGTTACCAATAAGAAAATATAAGAACAAATAATTTGGGCTATACAATTTTAATGCTGACCTGGGCCTCCTTTCGCAAAGCACTAAGGTGGTCGTAAGTGACTAAGGTAACCTTAGTGCAGTGTTAAAGAATGGGAGTTAAGGTTAATCTGAGTAAAGGTTGCTTCGTGAAAGGAGCCCCTGGATTACATGTTCCAATGCTTACAAAGATATCAAGACAATTAATTGCCACGAATGGGCATCATGGATGAATTATGTGAGGACAGTGTTATCATGAACCAATTCATGTGACATTTAGGAACCATAGGTGAATCATGTTAGCCAAATCCCAGCTGATTCTTACTAAACAGATGTAGGTGGGCTGCAACTTAGTTAAGAAATGGATGAAGGTGCATGTGTTGAGTGGCCGTGTCCTGTGGTACTACTCACTCTTATTGTAGCCCTCTGTGATGCTGATCCCCACACGGATACAGTTATCTCCCTCCGGTGTGCCAGGGCCAGCCAACTTCTTGCAGTCTGGCAGCAGTGAGTTGCCTGAAACACAGAGGCACCAAAACGTCACAAGACGATCACCCATGCTGCATGAAACATATTACCATTTGTATTATGAAATATGAGTGATCATTGGTCAAATGACATACCAGTCTGCCTGAAATAAGGTAGTGACATGAATGCAGCGAATACTTAGTAAAGTGTTAATGTGCTTCGTGGAGACAAAGATCATACAAACCCATGATGTATAGGCAATGCTTGGATTTAGCACTCAGCTATGAACAAATGTTGTCTAACTATGATACATAAAAATTGACAGCTGTCAATAGGTTGGTGCTGTTTGGCTACAATATAAATGTTGATATCTGTTGTATCTAATACCCACCTAGAAGCTGGTGTTGTTTGGTAACAATGTAAAGATCGATATCTGTTGTATCTATCACCCATCTAGGAGCTGGTGTTGTTTGGTAACAATATAAAGATCGATATCTGTTGTATCTATCACCCATCTAGGAGCTGGTGTTGTTTGGTAACAATGTAAAGATCGATATCTGTTGTATCTATCACCCATCTAGGAGCTGGTGTTGTTTGGTAACAATGTAAAGATCGATATCTGTATCTATCACCCATCTAGGAGCTGGTGTTGTTTGGTAACAATGTAAAGATCGATATCTGTATCTATCACCCATCTAGGAGCTGGTGTTGTTTGGTAACAATGTAAAGATCGATATCTGTATCTATCACCCATCTAGGAGCTGGTGTTGTTTGGTAACAATGTAAAGATCGATATCTGTATCTAACACCCACCTAGAAGCTGGTGTTGTTTGGTTACAATGTAAAGATTGATATGTCGTATCCATCACCCACCTATAAGCTGGTGTTGTTTAGCTAGGATATACTCAGTCTTGCAGATTGACTCCTCCAGGATTTCACATTCGTCCTTGCAAATCTGTCGTGGCCTTGGGTTGTTGGTGTTGGTGTCACACAGAGGGAGGGAGTGGAAGCACAGGGAGCGGATGGCATACTCCTGGCATTTGGAGGACAGGTGGCTGGATGACCCGATCACAGCAAAGCCCGCTGGAGCATACACAAGAATGGTTCAACATGCAACTTCCCCCAGCATTGATGAATATGTGAACAGCTAGCTTTAACATTCAAACACCTCTACAATATGACATTATCTTTTGTAGAAATGAAAGACATCATTACATTATGGGGATGTAGAGCCATCTTCATAATGAAGCATATCAAGTTTCAATTGTGTAACGTGTCGACAGCATTCTGTACCAGAGGTGATAATAATACATCTGCCAGGTGGCAATCCAACACATAATGCTGTGAGTACACCACATGATTATATATGCCCTTCCTTGTTTCAGACTGATGAAAGTGACCCACACTACTGTGAGATGTAGAATGTAATGAGCCATCCCCCCCAGTTTCGCCCCTCATGCCATAACCTCAACAGCGTCACACTGTAATCAGCAGAGTGCTAAATAATTAGTGTATTTCAAAAGACAGGACCTGAGGTAACTGACTTCAGAGTAGTCTGAAATTCCTCAGGGAGGGTAAAAGTTGAAGTAAGACACATAAATAAGCAGATAACGCCAAGCACAGACAACCTGAGATAAGCAATCAAATTCATGAAATAACAGCAAGTCTAATAGCTAAATCTTACACAACTTAGCTCTCCAAGCTGCCACAATATGAAAAAGTGGGGGTATTTCTCAATCCACAGTCTTTATCAGTTAATTCTACTGTGTGTTCCTTGTGGTAAAACCAGGGAGACCTGCACTACAGTGTTCTGCCGGCCCAGTATACTAGAGGGCCTGCTACAGTAAGGTGGTGTCCCCTCCTGGCACTGCACCACTGGATATTGGTAGGCAGGTGTTTATCTGTCTAAGCACATCAATCTCTGTCAAAGGGCTGTTATTCTGTCTGACTCATGCCTTGTCACACAGCAAACAGCTGCAGATATCTTTAATTAGACAACTAATTAATTACTCTAGTTACACCCTTCTTACATAATCGTTTTGTTCTGTTTGACAATTCTGTTTTAGACAGAAATGATGACATCATATCTCTGTTGTAGTATCATGTATTACCCAACCACATTTTGAGCCATCCCTAATCCAAACTGAAACAATCCACACATTTCCATGAATTATCCCATTCAAATTGTACAGGCCACAAGATAGAAAAGTATTTACCGATGAGTTTTTCTTCCTTGCGACTTTGTGTGAGTTTGGATGTGACATATATGCTCATGTTGCCCACAAACTTGGAGCAGGTGCTCCCTCTGTAGACTTGACAGAAGCCTGATCCCTGGTCCTCCTCCTTCTCCTCCCTGGTGGAGATAATATATGCAGGACATAACAAACCATCACAAATTGTAGAGCAGTATGCACTTAACACAGCGGGATATACATAGTTTTATACACATAACATTTAAAGTGTTAAACATAAAAGGTTAAATTCTCTGTTGTACATCGTCAAAAAGCAATTTTGTCCTGAAATTCAGATGATATCAACCTATTTCACAGCAAATTATAAAATTCATTACTCCCCTAAGCTTGAGGTTTTTCTTTTTCTAATTCAAATATTTGACCTTTGACCCTCTCAAACAGCTGTTGGGGGTGGGGCAAGAAGGAGGTGTTAGGGTGGGGAAGGGTGTGGTCTCCAGCACCACATTAACACTATTGTATAGTCGCCAGTAATTGCACTCATTAGTACACTAATCACTCACATGTGGGCTTACTTAGTGTTGAACTTGCATCACGTAACTCTAAATGCTCATAATTGATGTAATCCAGTCTGTGATTTATCATTTCAAAATGTAAACAATAGGCTACTGGTGCTGGTCATTTATTTATAGAAGATAGTTTGTTGTTGTAGTGCAAATGTGATCTGCTATCTGAGCACATCAAGATGTTATCACTGTTGGGTAATGAGCAATCATTTATTTAGACCAGCCTTTGCCAAGCCTTGCCTCTGCAGTGGCAACTGTATCAACATATGAAACATAAACAGCGCTGCCTAATAGTCCCCAACCTGTTTTTGATGGTTTTCATTAACGTGGGCGTTTCAAAGTCTCTTTGGAATTGCCCTATGGTTTCAATCATCCCTGTATTGCTTATTACAACATGTGCTGGGAATAGTAGTGTTGATGTGCTCCTATTGTTGTAAATCCAACAACTCTATGAAGGCAGCAATACCCTTTTGCTTTGATGCCGTTCAGCTCAGTTCTAGTCTGTCATACAGACCCTGAAGCAAATATATCCAAGAGAGCCCACGCAAGTCTAGAAAATGTGGCAAGTCTAGATTTCACAGCTTCAGGAAAAGCTTCTGAAAATGAAGAAAGTCTCTGGGCTCCTTTTTATTATATTTTATTTTTTTTATTATGAACTTTTTTTCTGTAAAATATTTTCATTTCAGAGACTAGTTGTGAGTCTAGCTCAGTTCTTACACAACCATTAAGTAGCATGAACCTATTCTGATGGTAAACTTTCACCACTGCAGAGTAACACTAGATATAGTGCAATATAGTTAAAAGAATGTTTTCAAATTTAGTTTACACATCAAAACTTGAACAGTATATTTGCTCAAAACCAATTACAAATGGAAAGGGCAAGCTTGTCCTCTTATGTGAAGAATTATGACCAGAATGTACATGGGACGATAACCTTGTAACAGATATGGAAAACTGTTTCCAATGAAGACAGGCAAAAACTACCAGAATCTGGTGCTATCATAGCCAATCACCATACTCACTTTCCTGGCAGGAACTCAGAGTTGTATTTGCCGTTGAATCTGGAGAAAAAGCAGTAACCGATAAGAAAAGTGGAAACTTATGTCTTCCATTTTGTGTTACTTGTTGTGTTCCTTCTCACCAGGAAGAAAGCTGCAGCACTACCCGCATGTTTATTGTGACGTCTCTTATGTAATAGGAACCAGCAAATAGTTATCAGCATTTAAAGCAAAAAGTGACACATTTAAACAACAGTTAGATATTTGACATTTGGTATGGTGAGACGGATTAGTTGCCTGACGGACAGATACATGGATATTCATTACGTTATGAACCCATATGTACCTGATATGTTGAGCAGACAAAGGCTGTCTTACAAGTAATTGTAACTGTACAGTTTTCCAATTGCTTGAATATTCCCAACTCCCCCACCCAAATAAATAAATAAATCAATCTATATTTGCCTGTTTTTTTTGTGTCTTTATCTTCCATGGTAATTTCCAAGAAAAAAGCCCATTGTTGCATTAAAAACAATATTCATTTCCCAACATATTTCCTTGAGTTCATAAGTAAATATCTACATATACTATTGGGCAACAAAGCAAGAGAAGACGACTCTTTATTCTCTATTCAATCGTTCAACTTAATTGTGGCAGGGAAATTACTGATCAGTATAAA